GAAACATACTGTGCATTATTTCAGTGCTTTTAAATTTGTTGAGGCTTGCTTTATGACCAAGAATATGGTCTACTTGGTGAATGTTCCACAGTGCTTGGAAAGAATATGGATGGAATGTCCTATAAACGTCAGTTAGATCCTGTAGGTTGATAGGGTTGTTCAGTTCTTTGCTGTATACTGATCTGTCTAGTAGTCTATCAAGAGCTGAGAGTGTGTTGAAGTCCTCAACTATAATTGTGGATTTATCCATTTCTCTTTCGAATCTATCAGTTTTTCCTTCATATATTTTGAAACTCTGTTGTTTGGTACATATACATTAAGATTGTTGTCTCCATGGTTGATTGGACCTTTTATTACATATCTTTGTGTCTAGTAATTTTTTTTTGCTCTTATGTCTACTTTATCCGATATTAAAATAGCCACGGCTGCTTTTTCTTTTTTGATTGTTAGCATATCTTTTTGCATCCTTTTACTTTCAACCTACCTAGGTTGTTATATTTGAAGTGTCTTGTTGACTGCATGTAGTTGGTTCTATGATTTGTTTTTTTTAATGCACTCTCTCAGTCTGTCTCTAATTGGTGTGTTTAGACCATTTAAAATAATTGATCTATTAGGGCTTAACTGTCATTTTCTTATTTGTTTCCTGTTTTCTTTTCTTGCCTTCCTATGCATTACTTGGACATTTTTTAGAACTCCATTTTGAATTATTTATATTGTTCTTGAATATTTAATTATATATTTCTTAGTGGTGGCTCTAGGTATTAAAATATAAATATGTAACTTATCACAGTGTATTGGTATTGACATTTTGCCACTTTGATTTAAGGGTGAAAACCTTACTTCCAAGTAGGCCACTTTACCCACCCCACTTTGGAAATATACTATCTGTAGATATTTTTTCTACATACACTGAGCATATTAGATAGTATTATGATTTTTGCTTCTACCTTCAAATATGATTTAAGAAACTCACGAGAAGAAGTCTATTATATTTACCCCTGTTTTAACCCATTCCACTGATCTTCCTTCTGCACTCCAAGCATTCTTGTTATCATTTCCTTGGAGAACCCATCTTAGCCATCCTTTAAGCACAGGTCTGCTAGTGAAAAATAATCTTTGTTTTCCTTCATCTGAGAATGTTTTATTTCCTCTTCATTCCTAAAGTGTATTTTTGCTAGATATAGAATTTGCAACTGACATTTCTGTCTTTCAGTGCTTGAAAAATATGCCATTTCCTACTGGCCCCCATGGTTTTAGATGAAAAATTAAATTGGTACTCTTCTATGAGAATATGTCATTTCTCTCTTTCTGGAATTTTTTATCTTTAGTTTTCAGAAGATTGATCATGATGTGCCTTGGCATGGATTTCTTTGAGTTTATCTGTTTGGGGTTTGCTCAGCTTCTTGAATGTGTTAGCATATGCCTTTCACTAATTTTGGGAAAATTCCGGCCATTATTTATTCAACTGCTTTTTCAGTCCCACATACTTTCTCTTCTCCTCCTGATACCCCCTGGCGAGGAAAGCAAAGCATGACCTGATTTCACTGGGTTCGAGATGGAAGTGCAGCCCCTTGCTTGGCCGTGCTGACATCATCCTGACAGGGTAACTGAAGTATCACCAGCTTCCACTGAGTGGGCGATAGAAGTTCAGCTTCCTGCTTGGCCCCAATGATACCACCCTGACAGCAGAAGTTGTCTGCTTCCTCTGAGTGAGGGATGGAAGCTCAGCTCCCCACTCGGCTTGCTGACACCACCCCAGAAAAGAAATGAGAAGTTGCTGCCTTTTTGCATGGGGCAGAGGGATGGTAGTATTTCTACTGATGTTTGGCTGGAGTAGGGCAGGTATTGTAAAAGTGGTTTTCTGATCTCGTAGGCCTCCCTTTTCCAGTCCTTTGGCTAGAAGGGACAGGCTTTTTCTAGAGCTTTTATTTCTGTGACTGCTGGTGGTCTGGGTTCCAGGCTTCTCTAGTACCCATCTGGAATATATGGGAGGCAAAAAATCCTCACGAACATGTTACTCTTCAACTCCTACGGTTCTTAAGCAGTTTGCTTTCTTTCCACCTTCTAGAGTCTTTGTTGTTTTATGTCCAGGGCTTTTATTTGTAAAAGGGAGGGCCTGGGAAGCATGGGACCACTCCATCTTGGCTGTAACTGGAAGTGTCCCAAGCAGCCTTTAAATTCCTGTTTAGTTGTTTTCTGCACTCACGCATACCAACTAGTTATCATTAATATAGACTATCAACAATTGAGAATAACGTTATCTTCCCATATCCTTACCAGATAAGAGCTATGTTTTTCAGCAACTTATTAAACTCTTAAAATTTTAATGTTATTGGAGACCTTAAAAAAAGTTCAACCAATCGAACTATCCCATTTTATAGATGAAAAAATACTATCAAAGGTGTAAAAAGTATGGTAAAATGGTTAAGCTAGGACTATGACCAGAGTCCTGAATTCCGGCCTAGTACACTATTTTGAGACACTATATCTATATATAGTATCTATGTAAATACTAAGCCATTTCTCAGTCTAACCTGCACTGGAAAAAATTGGGATTATGAGATCAGGGGATAAGGTCTTGTATACTACCAATAATTAAAATCTTAATATATTTTTTGATGATTCTAACATTGGTCGAGGATGAACACCATTTACAAAGAAAATCCAATACGACCATTTAGCACAACTAAGCAAAAAACGCACAGATTGTATTCCCAATGCTCCTCTACACTCATGCAGATAACCTGCTCTAACACTTAACGAGTATTTGTATCCCTTCCAAAATATCCCTGAGAAGGGCTCAATACCTCCAGTTATATGCACTTAGCTCATTTCAAAGTAATCCATTTTACTCTGAAGAATACGTACTCTCTGAAAGTATGCTAATGGTAAAACGTAAAAGCTCCTAAAAGTATTTCTGGAAGCAGATTTTCAGGCAGCACTCATTAAGACAAAGCTGTTTCCCTTAAGCTGATTCTCCCACCTACCAAATCTAAACCACGTTTAGATGTTTAAAATAAACACTTACGCAACACCAACAATGCCTTCACCAGGCTTGGTAACCTTTTCCTGCCACTCTGTGTTATTTCCCACACGGAGATGGTTCACTTGACTACATAAATTCTGAAGAAAAGGAAGCAACTCAGAGTTAGGTATATTTGAGTTGTCACTTGTTTTCTTTGGTAAGAAAGAAGATACCAAATTTTTAAGATCATCTTCAAGAAGAGTATGGCTTTGTGGCACACTTTCACATGCGCTGAGGTTTGTAGTATTTCCTCCACCAGGGGGCTGTGTGTTTTTATCAATGCAAGCTTTTAAGTCTTCAGTCACTTTTCCAGATGTCAATCCAGTTCTAAAAGGAAAAGGCGTGGAGGATGACTTGTTTAAGGCTCCTGAAGTAGATGACGACTGTAACCCAACCGTATGCTTGTATCCAGTATTTCCCAAGACGGACTGAAGCTGCTCTCCAAAGGGAATAGAATTCTAAACAAGATAAATAAGGAAATGTTATTATTCATAATAGAAACTTACTTTTTGGGTAATTAGTACAAGCCAGACACTGTAAATTCTCTCATTTGATCCTCATACGCCCTTATGAAGTAGGCTACTATCCCAAAATTAAGTTGAGGAGATCAAGGCTAAAGTGACCTGGTCAAGGTAACACAGCTAGTAAGTGGCAGAACTGTGACTTGAATCTGAGATACCTAACTCCAGAGCTAGAATTTTTAATCATTTTACTGTAGTTTTTCCTAAGGAAAATGTTAAAAACTAGTAGCATGCTTACAAAAATGGCACTGGCATACTTTAATATTTCCACTAAAAAGATCTCAATTTGTGGTGATGAAGTTTAGTACTCCTGATGAGCCACAATAATTTTCTTACAATTAGATTAGATTATTCCCCAAGTTTCAACATATGGTAAGCCACTCTTTTTACCTAGGCAGATTTTTGCAACTAGTTTCTTTTTAATGGCGGCTACACCAGATAGTTATACTCCTTAAAGATAAATATCCTGACTACGTTTATATATATTTAATGGCTAAAATGAGCTACCTCTTTGTTGTTTTAAGAATGTGTAGAATATCAGTTATATTTTGTGTCCTCAACTTAACTTTCCTTTGAAGATTCTGTCTTACCTTTGACAGAAAGTTACACGGGCTCCTACTTATGGCATGTCCTTGTTATGCTCTTCAATTTTTTAACAAGAGGAAGGCAAAACTATCTCTAGCATACCAAAACCCCCCAAAAAAAAAAAAAAACCAAACCTGTTGCCATCGAGTCGATTCTGACTCATAGCGACTCTACAGGACAGAGTATAACTGCCCCGTAGGGTTTCCAAGGAACGGCTGTAGCTCTTAACTATTAATGTATATGGCAGTATCCTAAATTAAAAGTAGAACTCATACTATCTATTCTTATCAGGATATATCATCTCACACTTACTGCTGCTGAATAGCGGGTCAGAGACAACGAAAGTGTCTAAAGGTCTCTGATGAAACTATGATACAGGTTTGGGGGGAAAGGCTACTGTAAATGGGGTGGTTGGGCGAGGTCTCATTGAAGCTGAGATCTGAAAAATAAGAAAAAGCCAGCCATGCCAAGATGTTCAAAAAGAGTGCAAAGGTCCTGGGATAGGAACAAATTTGGATATTTGAAGAATACACACATCAGAATGTCTGAAGCAAGGTGACCAAGGAGATGTGGTAGATGAGGCTGAGGAAGTGAGCTGGGCTCAGATCACAGAGGACAGGATGGAAAATCTGCACTGATTCTAAGTGTGATGGGAAGCAGTCAGGGGGCTTTACACAGGGGAAGGAGTTGGTCTGAATTACCCTTTGAGATCATTCTCATTGCACTGTGGAAATGAATTGTCCTGGAGTAAGAAGACCAGTTAGGACCCTCCTGAGGGAGTGAGGTGAGACAGTGATGGGGGAGAAAGAAAAGCACAGATCTCTGCATTTTCTGAAACTCTCCTTTCCACGGTGTCCATGATCATCAACTGCCCTGGTTCTCCTAACTCTTCTCACTGCTTCAATAATTAATAGTATTAAATTAATATTTGTAAACCTCATAAAAGTTACACGGAGTGCTTTATTTGTATTGTTTTTTTTAAATTTAATTTTATTGCAGTGAGATATACATAACAAAACATTTGCCATTTTAACCATTTTTAAGTTTACAATTCTGTGACATTAATTACATTCACCATGTTTGGACTGTTTCTTTTAAACTCACATTAATCCTGTGATCTTAGCAGTATTATCATTTAGATTTTATACATGAGGAAATCCATCCTCACAAAGATGAATCAGCTTGCCCTAAAACATGGAATTCATCATTTCAGGACTAGAACTTGAATTCAGGTCTCCCAACATCAGATCTCTTCTCTTGCTACTCTACCACACTCCTGTCTTCTACTCTTAAGTCTCCTTTTTCCTCTCGTTGTATCCTGACCAAATGCAGCCACTGTCCAAGGATTTTGCTTCCTTGCTTCAGTCTCTCCGCTCACACTTTCCCTGTTACCTACTATGGATACAGCTCTCCCTCCCAGCAAACCTGAAGACTCACTCAACCTCTCCCAGTCCCGCGTTTCCAAATGCTTACAAGATCATTCCAGGGAATGTTCCCTTCACATCCAAAACTCAATATGCCCCAAATTAAACTCCTCTTCATGTGTCCCACATGTCCTCCTCCCTCGGTTTCCGTTTCTATTACTGGCCTCACCTTCCTCAAAACCTCAATTTCATGCTTGACTCCTATTTCTCTTACAATGCCAATATTCAGTTGGTTGACAAGCCCACTGTTTTAGCATCTCACAATCCAGCATCATGTTGCTATTTCCAAGTTCAGACCCTCACTATCACTTATCTGGGTTAAGGAAATAACCATGTAGCTGGTCTCTTCCTGTAGTCTCACTTTCTTCTGATTTATTTTCTCTTCAGACTCACCTTACACATAACAGTATATTAAAATTTCTTAAACATAGGTCACAAACATCTAGAACTTTAAAAAAATTATTCAAAGCTCTATGTGATTTATTCCCAATCTACCCTTAAACTTCCCCTATCACGTCTTCGTTTCAGGCAAAATGAATTTCTATTTCCTAGTGATAGCCTATTCCTTCCAGCATTGAAGGCTTTATCCATACTAACCTCTCTGTCTGGAACGGACTGCCACGTTTACTTGCCAAATCCTGCCCTTCTTTTTCAAAGGCCTAGACAAAATGCCACCTGTTCAGGAAGCCTCTCCTGATCACCCATCCTTCACTGACATGTGCTAACTCACCTAAGGAGACTGTAAAGGTCTTTAAAGACAGGCCATTGACTAATTAATCATCTCTGCACCCTCAAAAGTGCTTAACTCAGTGCCTTGTTTACTGAGAATGTGCTTAATAAATACTTACTGAATGAACGAGTAAATGAATTCACGGAAAATTGTGAAGCTCTGTATTCAAAACATTTTGTAAAAGGGGAGGTCTGTCTGCAAAATGTTATTTTTACAAAACTAATGATAACAGGTAAATCAATAATAAAAATTCAAAGACAAAATTCTAAGTCACTGCACATTTTTATTAAAATCAATTTGTTCTGTAATTTTGTAATAATATCTAGTAGGAAATCCATTTCTACTTACCTGCTGCTGAAACCTAACCATATTCATCAACTCTTTAGCTCCAGGTGATAACTTTGATCCCATGGACTCCACTATGGTTTGAACCCTGTCTAGGTCTATCCTTGATCCTAGAGCAGGACAGCTTGTTGAAGAACTTGCTGAAACTGGTCTCACGTGTACCACAACTTTACTGATGAACACACAATGCTTTTCGCCAAAGGAGAGTAACTATTACAAAACAAAAGTTCTTGAAAATAAATAATGATATTAAACAATAATCATCATTTAAGGTTACTTCGTTATATTAACTAAGCAAGAGGGAAGTATTCAGGAAAGCAAACATAACCTTTATATACATATTTTCATTTTACAGTCCCCTACAATGGCAATCGTCAGAACTTCTGATTTATCATGAAGCTCAGAGAAACTATAAAGCAAAATCCTTTTCAAACTAAAAAATTACACAAAAAATACAAAAGGGGTTAAAATGAAGTTTTACTTAATTTAAAGAATTAAAAATAAACTATACCAGTATGAGACCTTAACACATTGCAACTTGCTATAATATCATTTAATACAAAATAAGGCTGCCCAGAAGCCCATCCAAAGCATTTACTAAAATACTAAATTTAAGTCAGTCTTTCAGAATTTAGAATTATAAGGAAATATGAAGATAATCTAATTTGCTGGTGTGCACATAAAAAAGATGATGTTGGGGTGGTTTTCTCACCTGTCAAAGGATTACCCAATTGGTACAACCAGGCCTGGAGCCTAGCTCTTCTGGCTTCTAGCCTAGCAGTCTTTCTGGGACTTTATGCTGCCTCATTTCATCCACGCTTCTGAACCAAAAGACATTTCATGTGTGGTATGGACAGCAGAGTAGCAAAGTGGAAAGGGAACAGGCTTTAGAATCAGACAGACCTGGGTTCAAAATATGGCTCTGCTACTTACAGCCTGTGTGACCCTGGGCAAATGCCAACACCTGAGTCAGGAGTAAAATGTGGGAGGATAACAATGATTCCACGTGCTAGTGGTGAGGATTAAGTGTTAACAATTCCAGTACCTACCACTGAGTAAGTGCTCAAAAACATGCATCAGTAACTATTATGATTGTTTTAGCTTTCATATACTATTGCCTTAAAACAATCTTTACTATGCCTGGTACACCCCTAAATGAAACAACCCTTTGCACTCCCACAGAACAGTTACAAAAACATTCACCTTCAGAGTCACACACAGACCTATATGTCAGACAAAGACTCAGGTCAAACCAGACCCATGACCAAAGAACTCTGAGTGGCACCAAGGAGGTGAATGTCCTCGAAGATTACCACTTCCATGCATTTTAATTCACCATAAAATAAATGTTATCTTTACTGGTCTGCTTACTATCTGTCTCCCCTGACTAGAATATAAACAACATGAGGGCAGATATTCCAATTTATTTTATTACTGATGATTCCCAAATGCCTAGTATAGTTTCTGGCATACAGTGGGCACTCAAATATATACAGAATGAATGAATCAATTTACTTAAGCCACTTTAAAAGTTATTAGGATATACTGCCTAAAACAACATCTTGGAATAATCAGTTCTGTAAGTTTACAGCCTGTATGCTTTGAAAATCACTTTTTTTTTTTTCTTCTTATTTTAAAAAGAAGTCTCATAATCCTTTATGAAATAGTAGTAGTACGCACAGGTTTTTAGAGATAAAAAGCACCAAGTATTTATTTTGTTCAGCCCCCTACCTAATTTTACCATGAGGTAGATCCAAACAGGTGAAGAGATTTGCCCAATCCACTCAGCTAGTCAGCAACAGAGCTGATTAATATTCCAAACATACGATTTCCAGCTTAGTACTCTTTTTCTAGACTGGTGACATCACTAAAGTTCACCTCAGCAATATTTTTCATGTGCAAGACCCCAGTCCAAATCCCTTTAACTTTAGCTGTAATGCCTCTAATTCTGTTCTATCTTTCTTGATATAATGGGTCCAAAGCTGCTTGTGATTTCTTGGCACCACGATTTCATATAAAACATAATGTTTTTTCTTGCACAGCGTCCCAGGGCTTCAAAACACAGCCCCTCTGTATCAACAATAGTATATGACATTATATTTCCATACCTTTCAAATGGTCAAATTTTAAGAGAAGACTTCAACCATAATTAACTTTTATAAAAAGTTAACTTCTTTTCTGTGTTCACTAACTATTTCTGAACTAAAACTAGGGACCAAGTTGGACTAATTGCATTACTGAACCAACAGAAAATAAGTATATATTATGCAAAAACGTTTGTAGTTGTCAAATTAGTTAAAATTTAGTGATGACTCACCTTTACTTTACAAGCATGTGTGGAGGACTCCAATTTTAAATATTTTTTGTACAAAATAATCTCATGTTCACTAAAAAATAAAACAGAATTAAAATGATTTTTTACTTTTATACATTATTTTTAATAGCTATGTTTAAAAAGAAATGTTTCTAGGTCAATAGTTAAATCCTGAGATAGTCTGCCTGGTGACATAGCAAGAGTTGGGCTCCCTATTCAAGTGCCCTGGCCACAGACACTGTGTCTGCCACTTACTATCTGAGATAGAACGAGATGAGATAATCCTGTAAAATCATGTAGCTCAGATTATACAGCTCAAAAAATGTAGCTATTTCCAATGTCACAGTATATAAAACAGTTCATATTTTGAGTTATGCAACCAAAAAAAAAAAAAAACAAACCCAAACCCGTTAACCCGTTGCCGTCAAGTTGATTCTGACCCATAGTGACCCTACGGGACAGAGTAGAACTGCCCCCTGCCCCGTAGTGTTTCCAAGGAGCGGCTGGTGGATTTGAACTGCCCACCTTTTGGTTAGCAGCTGTATCATTTAGAACCCTGGTGGCATAATGATTAAAAGCTCGTCTGCTAACCAAAAGGTCAGCAGTTTGAATCCACCAGCCGCTCCTCCCAGCGGGCAGTTCTACTTTGTCCTGTAGGGTTGCTATGGGTCGGACTCGATGGCAACAGGTTTGGTTTTTGGTTTTGAAGGACAGTTTAGGGTAGAATCTTCCTATAAGAGGCCAGAGAAACTATCAAATTACAACAGGCTGAACTGAGGATTAGACAGGCTGGTGTGGAACAGTCTTAGAATCCTGTATCACTTACAATGGGCTTCCTATAAAAAATTTGTTCAAGTTCCAGACTGACTGACAAATTAACTTTTGGAAAACAGACTATTGTGAGTTCATGGAGATCCGAGCCAGAAGCAGCAGTAAGGACTGCACTATGTCTAGACATTTTCACTAACCAGCTACCCAGTCACCTCCCTTCTATTAGTTATAAGTTTGCATATTTATAAAAATGAGAAAGCTGGTCAAGACTGTCTTCAAGATCTCTAATCTTCTAAAGTGCTGTGCCTGCTGGTATATTTTTTTTCTTCCCTTCCCTAAAGTCTGCCCCCAATGCCAGAGAATCAAGAAATACTGCAAAATCTACTTCTGCATGTCTAAGTCACAAACCTGTTATCCAGGAGAGCACAAACATTCCTGCCCCTACTGGTCCCACAGTACTCCTCTCTTAAGTACACCTCCATATTTCTTGCTGAACTTAAAATGCCAATAGAAGCGATTTCTTCACTTCCAGTAGGGTCAAAGTTCAGGTAAAGGAAGCAGGCGTTTTCATCTTGGCTGTTCGGGCTCCTCTTCAGAATCACCAGATCCTGGCTGGAAAACAAATTGTTAAAAATATTACACAGTATAGTTCTCTAAACACTACTCTTGACCCACTTGTTAGCCCATATCCCCATTGTTGGGGGCCCTGTACAACAGGGTAGTATTGCCTCCTAGCGTTTCCAAGGCTATAAATCTTTACGGAAGCAGACTGCCACATCTTTCTCCACACTGCCACATCTTTGGGGGGAGGGGTTGGGGACCGGGATTGGTGGGTTCACAGTACTGGGACATTTCAGTTAGCAGCCACGTGCTTAACCAGTGTGCCACCAGGGCCAAACCAAAACAAACATAAAATCAAACCCTTTACTGCGCATGGATTCCGACTCATAGCGACCCATACGGATAACTTTTTATCTAATTCATTTACATGTGATTTGAGGTTCAAGCACCTTATCAAGCACCCAACAAATGCTCAATGCAGAACTCCTAAGGAAATTGTTGCTTCGGATATCTACGTTTATTCCTTGATCCTCTACTCAATCCTCTGTAATTGCTTCTCAGTTCAGTTAAGTAAACTGGACACCTAGTGTGGACAAAGCAAGCAGGCAGAAGTGGGGGGCAGAATACAATAAAAAAAAAAAAAAAGTGTATCTTTTTCAAAATTGAGTTGATAGAGGTTCTCTACAGTCTTTTGTTTTTTTTTTTAATTTTTATAAGTTTGTTTGGGTCGATAACCAAAAACCAAACCAGTTGCCGTTGAGTCCATTCCCACTCATAGCGACCCCATGTGTTAGAGAAGAACTGTATTCCATAGGGTTTTTATAGCCGTGACCTTTCGGAAAGGGAGCCCTGGTGGCCCAGTAGTTAAGTGCTCAGCTGCTTACCAAAAGGTTCGTGATTCCAACCCACTAGCCACTCGGGGGGGGGGGGAAATGTGCCGTAAAGATTATGTTACAGCCTGGGAAAAACCCTATGGGGCAGTTCCACCCTGTCCTAGAGGGTCGCTATGAGTCCCAATCACTCGACGGCAACGGGTTTGTTTGTTTGTTTTTATTTTCTGGTTGAACCTTTTGGAAGCACATCCCCAAGCCTTTCTTCGGAGGCGCCTCTGGCTGCTTTTGTTTCAGGGGTCGGGTGCGGTGGCCGACTTCTGATTCTGATAGAAGTCCTGATTAGTTGCAATGATTAACATAAGAAACTACGAGGGTTCAGGTCACCTTTCCAGTCCCCCCAACAACACACAGGCGGAGCCTCGGTCCTTTCCCGCCGGACCCCGCCCCACGCCCTCAGGCCACCTCGGCCCTGCCCTCTGGGACACCCGGGACCTCCACGCCCTCAGGCCACCTCGGCCCTGCCCTCTGGACACCCGGGACCTCCACGCCCTCAGGGCCACCTCGGCCCTGCCCCTGGACACCCGGGACCTCCACGCCCTCAGGGCCACCTCGGCCCTGCCCTCTGGGACACCCCGGACCTCGACACCCTCAGGGCCACCTCGGCCCTGCCCCCTGGACACCC